TTTTTTGGATAACGTCCAGGGCTAATTGGAGAATCAACAGGAGCAGGTTTTTTAAGGATGAGATGCGTTCACCTGCTGTGACTCTGTGAACAAAGCTTCTGATTTGATCTGATTGAGAATGTTTAAAGACTGAATCTCAAGTGCTTTGCGTGATGATGATCCTGAAACTTTTTTTTTCGTGTCCTTTATTTGACAGCCATGTGTGAATGTAAAATTTGTTTTGATTCAAGGATAATATGCAATCAAACCTTGATTTAGTGCCCCTCCAAAATGAAGAGAAACCCTTGCATTTTGTCAAAAATTTCTCTGGAAAAAATCTGACTCCCATGTGTTCTTGAAGGAAACCCCATTTAGTGCCAACTCTATGACTGCCACAAAAAAGTCCTTGTCCTCAACAAAGAATGGGCCAGAATTGAAGAAATTGAGGCATTTTTCTTGGGTTATCATTGGATTATAACTGAGGATTACGTATCCTTGCCCAAATAAAAAATTTGGATAATTGTGAGGACACTTTTTTCTGATTTTAGATTGTTGAAATATATATTTTTGGCATGAATTCTTCCTTTATCAAAAATTTTATGAATAAAGTGGTAGCTTTCCTAGAAATAATGGTGATATCTGCATGATGGCACCTGAAATGAAATTCAAACAAAACCTTAAAAAGCATTTCTACTCTTTTTACTAGACGCAATATTTGTAAAAATCCAATATATTCTTTCGTACTGAATTAAACATGTTGTAATGCTGTATAAAAACAGTACATTTGAGATTGAAATTATTTTTCATGTCATTTTCTCATATTAAACAGACTCGATGGCCAAAAAATCTGTAAACAAGCTTATTTTCCGTGTAGTAGAAACTATCAATTGAACTTGCCTCCAATAAAATAAACTTGTTTCATTGCCATCTTTTGTTCCAGCGTATTTTGTGTTTGACTGAAAATTTCACATTGACTTTCACTGTGTTGTAAAAATGCTTCTGGTATCAGAGTTGCAATTACTGTACCTGTAATTCTCAGCAAATTAAATAAGGAATCCTGGTACAGAAATTTTTTTTTTCGAATGCATTGATGTATCAAGCGATAACGGTACTGACTCGGAAGTTTTGAGTTCCCGAGAAAATTCTTGGACGGAACTGAATTTGAATAGTGTTTTGATTTGTGGATTTTTTGAGAT